CTCACAGCAACCTCCAGCTCTTGGGCTTAGGCGATTCTCTTGCCTCAGCCTCCCGAGTAGCTGGGACTACAGGTGCCTGCCACAATGCCTGGCTATTTGTTGTTGTTGTTGTTGTTGTTGTTGCAGTTTGGCCAGGGCTGGGTTCAAATTCACCACCCTGGATGTATCGGGCCAGCACCCTGTTCACTGAGCCACAGGTTTTCTGAGCCACCTAAGATTTTTCTACTTTTTATAGAGACCAGGTCTCGCTGTGTATCTCAGACTGGTTTTCAACTCTTGGCTTCAAGCAATTCTCATGCCTCAGCCTCCTAAAATGCTGGGATTACAAGTGGGAGTCACTGTGCCCAGCCCTTGAATCACTCTTCAGCAGGAAGACTGGAGCACACCTCATCCCCCTATTTAGGTGGCCTGGTATTTGCTCACCTGCTGCTGCTACAGATGTGTATCTTTATTTTTCTTGAAACCCTGCTCTTTGCATAGCATCTCAGGCTGGGTCATCCTTAACCCTACGCTCTCTGCAGAGCTAGTACTGCACCACACCCACCAGTTTGCTGGGCATTTAAAAAAAATGTCATTGAGGTAGTTGAATGTTTTCTCACTTATTAATGAATAACTTGGCCTTGCTGAGGCACTTGAGTGTCTCTGGGCCTCCAGAAGGGTGGTGGCAGTGATTTGAACTTGCCCATGAGCCGGAACAGGGCTTGTCCCTTTCCTGCAGTCCCTCCCTCTTCTGCCCAGTGGTTTTGGTTAACAGAACCCCTATGGAAAGAAGCCTTCTTGTCGGGTGGGGTGAAAGCCCATTAGCCCACTTTGGGGAAAGCAAAGCCCTTTCTGGCCCTGTTCACCAAGGGCAGGCATTTCAGGGGCTAGCCTTCAGGAAGTACACTGCTAGCAGTTGGGAAGGAACTTTTTGTTAGACTGTCCGAGATTCTGGTTTGCCTCATCAGCTATCCTTTAGTCAGGGAGGTGTGTGTGTGTTAGCTGGCCTCTGTAGAAGGCCTGTCTGGGTCGCAGGAGCCCTGGGAGAACACTAACTTGTTTCTCAGTTAAAAGTTTGTACTCTGCTCTTTGGCATCCCTCTTTGCCTTCATCAAGCATATGCCTCTGTGCCTCATGGCCTACCTGGCCCCGCAGGGGTGTGCAGTGTCTCCCCAGGCTCTCCTGGGGCTCCTGTGATTGGTCCCTGCCTGAACAGTCTCACTCAGCATTTACCTTCACCCCCCCCCCATCAGCCACCTGCGGTGTTCTTCAGACATCCCCCGCCTTTGCTCATCCTGTGTCAGAATGCTCTTCTCACTCCTGTCCTCCATCCTATAATACCCAAATTCTTCTCATTTCTTCAGTGGGAAATCCTTCACCCATCCCCCGGGAACCATGTTGACTTTTCTCATGTAGCTATTGTCACTTGGTAAGTGATTTTGTTCCCGCTGCCTCATCCCCATGAAATGGAGCTACCCCAAATTGAGGGACCGTGGTGCCTTGATCTGTTCCTGTTACAGAAAGTTTTCTCTGGGCCAGGCCTCCAGCCTGGGTTTGGTGGTGTGCTCTCTGCTAGGTTGCATGCCCAAGAAATGGTGGGGACCTAGTTGCTGTCCTCAGGGTCTTCACAATGAATATCGGCAGGAAGTGACTCATGAAGCAGATGCCACTTGCAGGGAGGCAGTTGTCAGTGGCATAAACAAACCTCTTTTTTGTCCTGCCCTGGTGCTAGTGACTGTTCTTATCCCAGTCTCTCCCAGCTCAGAGAGGTAGGCCGAGCAGATGTTATACTTGTGATTTACATGTCAGCTCCAGCTCATTCTTACATCTACCATGGCAGGTTCCCTTTGGAAGGAACTTACAGATATCTCTCAGAACATTGCTCTAGTGAGAGTCAAAGGCGGGTCACTGCCAGTAGTGAAGCAAGCATTGATACCTCCAGGATGCCAACCCTGGGAGACCCATCACAGGGCTGTTGTCCAGGAGCCTATCAGTCCATGCACTGGGCCCAAGGCATGGCCATATTCATTTTAGCATACACATGCACCTGCCTGCCCTGCAGGCAACTGCAACAACAACAAAAAAAGGTAGCTGGGCATTGTGGCCGCCGCCTTTAGTCCCAGCAACTTGGGAGGCTGAGGCAAGAGAACGTTTAAGCCCAAGAGTTTGAGGTTGCTGTGAGCAGTGAAACCATGGCACTTTACTGAGGGCAACATAGTGAGACTCTGTCTCAGAAAAAAAAGAAACTTCAAACTAATTCCCTTTGGCTCTTTCTCCCAGAATACATCGCAGGCCTGAGTGGTGAGAGTCTTGTTATAAGCCTGGTCCTAGTTTGAGTCATGTTACTTCTAAAGGGAACCTAATAGGTATTTTTTGGAGATGTCTCTGTCCTGGAAGGGGAGTTAGGAGGGCTGAGGTTTTGTCCTGCCCTGGTTGCTAGTGACTGTTCTTTCCTCCCTCTCTTTCAGGTCAGCAGGTGGTTCCATCCAAACCTGTGGCTGGTGGCCTGCCAGTGTGGGCCCTCTGTGGCACAAATCAGCTCCATTTCTCACCACCTAAAACCTCCCAGCTCTTCTTGCCAGTGTTCACCATGCTCCTGGGACTAGACTAGGGTCATGGATTTTTAACTTCTGCTTGGGCAGTGATGCTCCAGTGTTGGCCCATCAGACGTAGCAGGCATGTGTCCCCTTGGAGGCCGGATCACCTTGCTGGGGTGTCTGGCTCCTGAGATGTCCTGTTCTTCATTAGCTCCCTGGGCACCATGGACTAGAAGTAGGAGCATCCATCTTAGCAAGTGGTTTTTTTCCCTTTCTTTGCAGGACAAGGAAGATGGGGAGCCAAAGACCAAGCAGCTCAGAGAAGAGGAGGAAGAAGGCGAGAAGCACAGGTAATCCCGTGTGCAGCTCTTGGCCTTGCTCTCTCCTACAGCACTCATCGGTCCCCAGGTCTCTATATCTTCCCAGCTCTGTGTTCAGTGTTTCTACCTGTTCCTTCTTCTCCCCCTATAGCTGCTTTGTTCAGACCTGAAAATCTCAACCACTTCACTCCTTGGGGCCTTCTCTGCCTCCTTTCCCCCATTTGTCATCCAGCTCTTCCTCAGTCATCAGTATTTATTTCCAACCCTTATATGTCTTTTTATTCTTCTCATCTGCTTTTTGTAAAATCTGGTCCCTCTTCTGTACCTGGCTTGTAAAGCTCTGCCTGGGCCATCTGGCCTCATCCAACCTCCTCTGGTTTCCCTTTTGCCTCCCCTCACACTTGGCATTATCCGTCCATCTCTTTGTAGGATCCTTTTAGCCTGGAAAGCCTCAAGCTATCCCCCTGGGTAGAGTGCTGTGGCATCACAGCTCACAGCAACCTCCAACTCCTGGGTTCAAACGATTCTTCTGCCTGCACCTCCCAAGTAGCTGGGACCACAGGTGCCCGCCACAGTGCCCAGCTATTTTTTTTTTTTTTTTTGGTTGCAGCTGTCTTTGTTGTTTGGCGGGCCCAGGCTCCGTTCAAACCCGCCAGCTCAGGTGTATGTGGAGAGTGCCTTAGCCGCTTGAGCCACAGGCACCAAGCTGCCTCTTTCTTCTTTGTCTGGGTTCCCCCACCCACTGTCTTTGCTCCCTCAGTAGTTTATTTAGAGTATTATCCTCTTTTGCCAAATACTGTCATGCGGTTGACAACTTAAGTTGCTTGAACACAGCACGTATGAGGGGCTTGGGTGCCCTCCCCTTGAGGTTACAGTCATGAGTGCTTTCTATAGTCTAAGGCCGAGGTCCTCAAACTTTTTAAACGGGGCCAGTTCACTGTCCCTCAGACCGTTGGAGGGCCAGACTGCGGGCCCCTAGAGGATTTGGCTGCTAAGCAGGACAGGCAGCAGCAAATACATTCAGCGGGCCGGATAGATGTTCTAGGTGGTCTACATGTGGCCCGTGGGCCCTAGTTTGAGGACTCCTGGTCTAAGGGCAGCAACCTCCACAGAACTTCAGATGCCACTGCTTTGCCTCAAAAATCCCTGTTTGCAGGAACCAGCATGTGGGGCAGGAATTGCTGTGCAACTGATCTTTGTGAGTTGTCTGACAAGCATCCCTTGCCAACAGTTGTTGAGGTCTCATGCCGTCCCTCTGACACTCAGCCCTGGAATGGGGTTATTTCCCTGGGGTCAGACTGTGCATCTTGATCTCCTCTGCCCTGAGCAGCTTTCTTCAGACTCAGGCCCTGTTTTGTTTTGTTTTGTTTTTTTGAGACAGTCTCACTATGTCACCACCTGTAGAGTGCTGTGCTGTGATGTCACAGCTCACAGCAACCTCACACTCTTGGGCTTAAGTGATTCTCTTGCCTCAGCCTCCCAAGTAGCTGGGACTACAGGCACTTGCCACAACACCAGGCTATTTTTTTGGTTGCAGTTGTCGTTGTTGTTTAGCAGGTCTGGGCTGGGCTTGAACTCGCCAGCCTCAATGTATGTGACTGGCACCCACTCACTGAGCTAGGGGTGCTGAGCCATTAGGGGCTGAACTCTGCTTGGAGGAGGAGCAGAAGGAGGGGAGAGCGTGCTCCCTAGAAGATGCTGGGTAAGCACATTGGAGCAAGTCTTCCTAATGCCTCAGCCATTTTTCACCTTTACCAATATGAGTGGCACCTCCCCAAGTGCAGGCTCTCATCTCTGCCTTTTTATCAAATACCATTTATAGAGTACTTTTATACTGTCTTCACTCAGGTTCAGATGAGAACCAGCTTTGTGCTGAGAG